ATTTATGCGAAAATTGTGATTCGCATAAATTTGAAGAATAGTAGAAACCTCAATGAAGAAACCTATTTTGTCTTACCTTTGAACTTAAACTTCGTGAAGGCTGACTATAAACCACAAGCATCCAATCTCCCATAAGAAACAAGTAAAATGGCAAGAGCAGAGAAAAATATTAAAAGCAAACTCATGAAAAGAGTCGTGAAGATATCAGACGGACGACGGACGATGGAACAAATGACAAAATAGGACAGAAATGCGTCTGATTTCAATCCAAAAACTAATCTGCTAAGTTAGTTATTGGAATTGAATTACAAAAAGATTAAGTTTCACTTTACCTGTTTTAATATGCAAGTGTGTAAAGCAGCTACCCCTGCACTCCCACCACGCCACACTAACTACTAATTTAATCTGCAGACGCACACGAAGTCACTTTGACTTTGTATGGAAAAGTTGTAGCAAAAAGTTTTGCGGAGCTGACATGAGGCGAACTCCGTGCAAGGATATGTGTAACCAGACGGGGGTTAAGCTGTTTTTAATAGTGCGATGGGCTGAATGTGTGCTGTGTCTGTTTTAAAATTACATTTTTCGCTTAAAGTTGTTTATTTGTTCACATTTGTGTTCTGTGCATATTAGAACGACTGTCGCTCTGTCAGCCTATATCTCTGAAAATACTCTTCCCAGGCTAACTTCTTATAACAACATACTAATGCTTTCAACTGGTACCAGGTAAATGTGACTTGTTCGTTTAAGATTGTAGCTCAGTTCTTTGAAATTCGCTAGACCCTGTTTCTATTCTTGTTTCTGTTGATGTTATTGGTATTGTGTTCGTTTTAAGTGCACCCGCTTTGTTCTAAACCAGAAAACAAACACAATGAAAAGGCTCACTCTCATTCACTTTTTATGCAAATTAGTTACTTTTGTGGGTTTCAGCACTACTTTTACCAAAACTTTTGCCTTTACTGTGGCCATATTTTAGTATTTCCTCCATCTTTGTTTCACCGCAAAAGCAACAGCAACGCAATAGCATAACTGACAACAGAGCAGCAAACATGTAAGCAACAACAGCTTGTTTCCTTTAGTGTCCTTTTGATTTCAACACATTTTACCTTTTACCTTGGTTTTTGCCTTTGTATTGTTCACATGCTTTGCAGTTTCCTCTTTTTTAGTGCTTGCCATCCTCTGCCCTTCTCTGGCTCACTAATGTATAGTTAAGTTCTCAGCCATTGAAATATTTTTCACTTGTGGCCAATCCTTTATGGTTTTTTGCCTTGAAATATTATTTTGTATTCATACCCACAAATCAGCGGTGCTCGCTGGTTCCTGCCCGGACTCGACCAAGTGACACCGATGTTTAAGGCCTTGTTTCTTTTGTTTTATAATTTTATTTTTTTAATTCAAATGATAAGTTCTATTTCATTCTTTTCTGGTCCCTTATTTACTACCTTCTTTTTTGGGTACACCTATAATTACACAGGTTTCAAACTCTCATTTTTTGGAATTTGTGTATTACTTGAAAGAATTATGAGTGAGAATTTTGATATTCTAGTTTTTCCCTTGAAGTTGACAACTGATTTCGTTTATTATTTTAACACAATGAAAAAGCCCTGTATTGACTTTACTGAAAACCCCCAAAATTAGTACATTAATTATAGTAAAATGATTTCTTAAAATAATACACGCAAGAATATACAGAAAATGTGAAACGGTAATGGGACGCACACAATTTGGGTTTAGAGATGCTATGGGAACTCAAGAAGCTATATTCTACAACCCCAATAAATAAATTGGAGGCTTTCGAAATGTGGTGTTATTGCCGTCTATTGAAAATACCTTGGGCTGATAGAATTACCAATGAATAAGTGCTCAGAAGAATGCAACAAGAAAGAAAACTGCTAAATATCATGAAAATAGAAATATAGCATACTTGGGACACATAATACGTGCACCCAAATGCAAGGTATTGCTACTTATAGTTCAAGGCCGTATAGAACATCGCAAAGGTGATGCGTGGAAACAACTCTCATGGTTAACGAATATCCGCACCTGTACAGGACTTCAAACTATTGAGGCATTGGTACACTCTGCGCGATCAAGTGACCAAGATCAAAAGACTACACAGCGGTAGTAGTTTAATGAAAAATTATAAAGTTGAGTGTTAAAAATTAAATGTTGCCTTTTATGACTAGTTATAAGTGGTATTAAAAAAATTTGTAGTATTGAAGATTTAATTGAAAATCTCAAAGTGAGTATAGCCGGTCTAAGAAGAGGAATTATAGTTAAATCCTTAAGCGTTTTTTAAGTGCGTAAATAATAAGTATTTATTCATCACTCCTCTTGAGGGCAGGTCACAGCATTTCATATTCTTTGAATAACATGAAAGTCATATTCGGCTAATACGAATACTTAGATTTGCACCAAATATTTTAAATAATCTAAACTCGTATTAATGTATGTATGTTAGATAAATCTGCATCAAATCGTCCATATATTGAAACAATTTAAACAGTCCAAGCGATACAGATGTATAAAATTCTGTTTTATGTTCATTACTAATTAATTTTAGAGTTTACATAAATTATAATTCTAATATATATAAGCTTACAATCTGATTTTTTATATGTAAAAATTCGGAATATAAGAACAAATGTCTTTTGTTTTTGAATTAAAATAGCAATATTGCTTTTCAAACAACTTTAATTTAATAGTTCGCTCCAGAGCTGATATTTTAGAGGTTTTCTAAATATCTTTCTAAATATAAACTTTGATTTAAAGTTTTCTAAATATCTTTCTAAATATAAACTTTGATTTAAAGTTTAAAATCAGTTGCTGTAATAATAAAATTACTACCGTTAGTATATACAAAATTTTACTAGATCAGTGACATTTCAGCACTTAAAACTGAATTTTATGGGACACCCAGTTGGTAATAATTTGAAGTACTTGAAGATGTCTAAACCGTTAAAGAAAACCACGTTGGCAAAGTGGTTATTTTATCTCTTAATCGGATCGCCATCAATTCCTTTGTGGTTACAATTTCGGAAAGTTTCGAAAGTCTTACCGACCCACTGCTTTACCGATTGTCTGTTTAAAACAGTGATTTCCATGATCAATATTCAGAGCCTACATATACTTTAACTATACCCGCCACTGTCTTTACGCTTTAAAACTTCTCATGCTTTAACAAATTAAATAGTTTGTTGGACTTTAGGAGCAAAGTTTAAAAAAGCTTTCATTTACCATATAAAGCATTTTTTTACAAAATTATACTGAAATATGTGTTATGAAATCCTTTTTTACCTTAAAAGTGTTCACTATTTACTCCTAGCAGACCGTTTCTTCAACTGCAACGTTTCTATCATCTAAATCAAAACAAACTTTTAATTACAAAAAAATACGGCAGTTAAGTTAAATAAATAAAGTTAAGCATATAACACAAATAGTAATCGCTGTAGGATAATGAGTAAGAGGACATTTTGAGAAATTACAGTATGATAGTGCATTCTTAATGCACCACTAGTACTCCTGCTGTCCGTATGCTAGGGAATAAGCGCATAATAATTTAAATGCTCTACGCCAGCAGATACCCTCGAGTGAAGATGAATGGAATTCAAGATGCATAATAACATGAATTGGAAATGGGTCATAGTGGTGGTTAAAGGTAAAGCGATTTTGGTGTGAAGCTAAAGGTTATTTAAGCGTCAGTAGTTCAAGTAGTAAAATACGTGCTTCTGCACCAGCTGCCGAGGATCTGCAAGTGTACGAAAATTAAATTCTTGCGTGGAATCAAATGAAGTTGTTGCAGTTAATTTGTGATTGAAGGATTTAAGAGGTAATGTTGTGTTGGTACTCTTATTATTGTTGCTGCTTGAATGCTGTGCAAAGTCGCGATTTGCAGAGCAGCAGTCACTGCAGTGGCCAGGCAGCAATAGTAATTGGCAAAAACAAATAGACTAGGTCATTGCTAGACATGCGGATGGTTGAGCGGAAGGATGCAAAGACCTTAATATTGTCAGGGCTAAGCAAATAAGTAAACAGTGCAAAACGTTGCAATTGAGCACGTTCAACAGAAATGAACTGCAGATGTACGCCACGAAAACGATACCAATTTAAACCAACACTGCAAACGGTTGGCTTAAGTTAACGTACATAGCAAAGATAATAGCATATGTTAACACAAGCATACAAACAGAAGAGTCAACAAACAAACAGTCGTGCAAACAGACAGACAAAACAGCAAACGGATGGAATTGGTCTGTGTAAATAGACATGAGCAAAGATTTTTGGCAGAATATGACTGAGTGTCATTGCAATTGTTGCTAACGAATCAGTGCAATTGTTGTTGCGACTGTTTTTACGGCTCCAGCTACTGCTGGAGCTGGAGCTGGAGCTGTTGATAATGATGTTACAGCAAAGCTCAAATATCGCAATGTTAATGTGCACACAGCCAATTGGACAAGCAAACAGTACCATGCAATGTGAGGAGGAAATGACGACAAGTACACTGGCATGAGTCAACTGCTGATAATACCTTGTGAAAACTTTATCACTTTCCTTTGGATAGTGAGTACTCAACTTACTGAAACTCATTTCATACCCATCCTCGAAAATTATTTTGTATGTACTTCCTTGCTTTGTGTCATTACTGTTGCTGCTATTCAAATATAGCATTACTAGTTGAACGCCTTTCTAATTATCCTTTGTATACCTAAAGTAGCTAATTTGCAATTCTTGTTACTATAAAATTGTCACATTGAACTGAAAATGGAAACACGGGCAAAGTTTACTAACCTGATATATTGATTGTTTTAATACTAAGAAAAATCGTTGGGAATCTTTGTCTACAAGTCCTGGCAAGTGCACTCAAAAACATTGTTACTGCTATTTTAAATGATATAAAACTTTCCATAACTTTTTTGAACTGAATAAACTACCTAAATATGTAAAAACGAATAAAATTTAAATTAACTTAAGTAATGCAACATCCTTTCCATTTTTCATTTCAGTTTGGTGAATCAAACGATGACTGATGCAGGTCAAGTGCGCTCCGTGCTAACACAAGCATTGAGGGTGTGGGAACGAAATTCAAAATTGACATTTCGAGAGGTCTACAGCGATCAGGCGGATATACAAGTACTCTTTGCCCGGTAAGTGTTACGTTCAAGCAAACCACACAAACGTTCATTAAATTTCGTCATAAATTTGCATAAAATGCATAAATTCAAGTGAATTGTGGATTAATAAAAATGAAGGAACTTTATTTGGCACCTTGAAATTTTGCACGACTACGACAACTGCAAACTAGCACCAGTGGTAGCTGTTCTCACCTTCAATTGGTGTTATTATCTTTTCAGGTTTGTCTTTTATTAGCCAATGCATCACTGGCTTATTGTTCCACCGAAAGTGTATATAAAACAATTTCAGAGATGTTCTCTAAACCAGTTTTATTCGCGTTCACTATATAACACCAGTACCTGCAATGCTTTCTCATCATATACATTCATTATTGTAAGCTCTTAGCTACTTTCTTCAGTTTAGAATTTTATCATTAACCTTTTACAGTTTCGTAGAAGTAAATTGTTTACGATCACAACTAAACTTGCCATCAAGTCTTTTACGAGCTCTCATATGAAAATCACAGTTAAGAAGATATTCAAGAATGCATTTTATATCTATGAGAAAATAAATTTCCTTTTAACTTTATGAATAAAATATGCCTGCTTCAAGGGTGCGCTGTGGTAATACTATAGCCATTAACTATAATGTCTTTCTTTGCACTAATTTGATGCTGTGGTTTAGCTTATTGGTTTAAAGGAGTTATGAATATACTAAAGATACATTCAAGTCTTAATGAAATTATAATTGTTGACATTTTAGGCAAAGTCTTGAAATAAAGTAACAACTTTTTTCCTTGATTGATTTAGAGCTGATTGTCTTTTAATTTCAGTTAAATAATGATTACATAGCTAAGATAGTGTGTGAGTGTGAGTGTGAGTATTGCTTATAATTCACTCTTAGTTCACGTGTTTTCATTACATTACACTACTATTGTGCTTACTTACTTACTTAAATTATATATGTTTTTTGTTACTATTGTGAATATCTCTCAAGCGAGAAATCATCCCATTGATATATGAATACACACGAATTAATCTTTCCATAGGGTCAAGTGCCCTAGTTTTATGTGTCTGTGGTAAATTTCTTTCATCATCAATCAATTAGTCCTTGTTATCAAAAGAACAATCAGGCTATGAATAGAACGCAAGTTTCTTTGATAGTCTTCCTTGATTGTTAAAATGGTACCAGTAAACTAGACACAAGTAATTATTATCAATACCTGTACTATGTATTTAGACTAAACTGAAGATCTTGACTTTAAAATTACTTATACACTATCCCAAAGTTTAAAAGCATAGCTGTTATATAGACCTGGTAAACTTGACCATATCTAAGAATGTCAAGAATTCTCCCATGACACTTAAAACGGATAATTATATTTAAATTATTCACCTAAGTGTTCTATATGGCTTTTTCACCAGATATTGCTAAGCAAAAACCTTTATAATTTATTATTATCTAGAAACAAATATTTTTACTTGTTGTTACTTTTTTCTTGGCGAGAGTGACGCGTTCTTACTTCAATAAATTTAGTAAAAATTTTGTTCTTATCTTTTCTTTGCTATTCGAATCCGTCTAATATTTTTATTCTTGTTTACTATACTACAAAAATAATGAAGTAAAAACCACAAAAATTCATTAGTTTCAATAAAATACACTATGAGCAAAAAAAAAGGTTTTATTAAAGGCAAATTATTACAATAATTTTTTTTATTTTTTTATTTAATTTGACGATCTTTGGCGTCTATTTTATTGAACAGATTTTAATTCTCTAATTACAGAGGTGATCATGGGGATGGTTATAAATTTGATGGCCCTGGGCATGTATTGGCACACGCTTTCTATCCCGGCGTAGGGCGTGGCGGTGATGCTCATTTCGATGATGACGAAGATTGGGTATTTGGCGCCAACGATAACCAGCAGGGTAAGTAGAAGCAAAAAGGGGAGCCAGATTGCTACATTTGTATTATGTTTCTTGCTGTTGTTGATACTGTTGTTGTTATTATTTATACTAAGACCAACAATACGGCAACGTTCGCCAATTCAAAACAAAGCGTATTAAAAACCAATCAATAAATCGCCAAGCAGTGCCAAAGTAATTACAACATCTTAGCATGCAATCATTTGTAAGCATCAAAGCAACAAAGGCACCAACAACAACAACCAGAATGACAGCAACAACAAAACTGTTGCGAAAACATAAAATGGCAATGAAATGAAATAGAAAAAAAAAAAAAAATGAATCAGAAAATCCAGCACTTTTTTCGAGGAGGCATGAAGCGGGAGTGGCAGCAGTAATGCTTATTGTCAGTGTGAAAATGATAAATTACAATTTCTATGCCACAGAGAGGCCAACAACAACAAAAATTGTTTTATTGCAGATGTGTGACGTTGCATATGGGAAAGAGGAGAAAGAGCCCGACCAAAAAATCCATATAGAATCCAATAAAAAAGCATATATTACGACAGAAAAAATGACTGTTGTTGTTATTGTTGTTGCAGTTCTAGAATCCTCAATATCACTCTCACCTTTAATACATACATACATACATACATATATATATATCAGTTTAAAATGTCTTGTTAAAATGACGGGTGTCTTCGCGAAGTTCACAGCTCACTTATATATACTCCAACCTGTTTTAAAGCGCAGTTCCACACTTAATTTCATTAGAAAAAGTTTTTTGAACTAAATAAAATAAACGTGAATTGATATCAATTATTCCACCAGATAAATAAGAAATTAGTGCCATTTCTCAAATATGTAAATTGATTTGTCTTGAAAAAAAAAATTATTTTTTGAATATCAATAGATTACATTAAATGTGAAAGATTCGACGAAGATCCTTTATAATATCAGCAGAATATTGACTTGTCATACTACGCTCTACCTAAAACAGGCGTCGTTTCGCAAATCCAAGACAAGCCGAAGAACTCATTTGAATCAAAAACTGTTGACTATTGTCAATTGACAGTCACTAGCGTTTTAACTGAAGACGCTGTTCAACCATCGACTTAAATTGTAATGTGTTTGACTCTGTTTTCGTGACATAATTCCAAATTTATATGATATCATCAATTTCTTTATCAACAACTCGACGCTTTTCTGTGGTAGCTGCCGAACTGCCCTAACATACCTAATCGCAATACTTGTTCAGCAAGTTGTATAAAGGTCTTCTAAGCGTGCGATCAATCCACAACCACTTATTTTCTGGTTACATATGTTGCTTGCAGTTGGTTGGTCAGATTCCCCAAGTACTCATTAGAAGCCCTCTCAGCCTTGTGTATTTTAAGAATACGATGCCAACAGTTGTTAATGAAGACTTGTAGGAGAGGCCTTTTACATTTTACACGCGTAAAATAGTACAGATTAAAGTAAGTTGTACAGTTTAAGTTGTTCTAAGAATTATTTGTCAGATTCGCCAGGTATTCAAAAGCAGATCAAAAACAGCTCTTGCATTTCTTAAGCGTGCTAGTACACCATTAGCTGCACCACTTTTATGCATTTAAATGCTGTCGAGATCGACTATAAATAGTTAACATTTATTGTTGGCTCCATAGGTGAATCGTTGATCCCGATGGCCGTATAACATTATAGCCAATTTTTAAAACTTTGATCTTTTCCGACATTTAAACTCAACGTACATAACCTTTATGATATTGAGTACTTCAATAGACAAACTTCATCTTTGAATGAATTACCATAGATACCTTCTATCGAAACTGTCAAATTCTTTTTTAGAATCTAAAATTTGCCGAACTAGAATTGTAACTGTGTTACAACTGAGTTCTAATTTGTTTTGTCTGCAAACATCATAATATCTTATCCGAAAAAAGAAACTGTATTTCTTTTTTCTTCTCTATTTTTAAAAATATAACTTATGGGAATCTACCATATCAAATCGTGTAAAATATGTAAATTTAGTCAGTAGTGCGCTGATATCTATTCTATATAGCTATGAAATGATATCACATGCATCATTGTTTGATTGTACTTATATTTGAAACGATACGCCAATCATATTTTGAACACTTAAGTCGCCATAAATACTTAACAAATCATAAGTGGTGGAACGCAGTGTTATGTTATGGAATGTATCCAAAACAAGAAGAAGCTGAAAATGGACTTAGGAAAAATTGTCAACATTTCTTTTTTTAACTATTTGCCAATATTTAAGCCAATCGTAAAAATAAACACGAAAAAGTGGAAAACCATTTCGGCACTTACTTTTCATACCGCTCCACTCTTCTCTATTATCCACGCCTACAAGCAAAACTATTTGTGGCTTTTATATGGCTTCTGATTATTAAGACGCCTGTTAAATAAACATTAATTAATTTCTGCTTTTTTTCTCCTTTTTATTTTTATTTTACTATAGTTTGTATGGTTTTCAGCCAAAATTTCTTCGGCTTTTGATTTTTCTTCAATTTCGCTTAAATAAACAAGTATATTACGTTTGTATTATTTTCGGGGATTTCCATTTTTATCCATTTTTCCATGGTATATCGACACAAACTTAAACTAAAAATTAAAAATTGTGGTCGAGCACTTTTAACCGTCTTCATGGGCAATTTTGCTTTCAACCAGATTTGTCAACCGTTCAATCGCGGGGAGTTTGATAAATGGAGACAAGAAACCCCATGAGAAAAATTGAGTGATTCATACCCAGCCAGTAGAATTTAGATACAAACAGATGTAGCTGACCATTTGCTATACTGAAGGTAGTACTTAGCGAAAAGAAAGCTTGAATGATGAAAAATTGTGTTCTGATTTAACAGAAATAATGGAGTACGATTAACAAGCTAAATCTTATGCTGCCATTTTCCATGTGATTAGTTAATCATGTGGTATGCAGTGATCAGATAGCTCTTAAGAGAAGGTCTAAATATGAAAATTAAAGTTTGGATTTAATGGGACAATAACATAAGTACGTACTTTCAGTAACTGGGTCTAATTTCTAATAATTGTTTAAAAAATATGTGCTTGAGACTCCAAACGTTTTTATTCACAATTTAGCAATACAATAGTTGCAAATGTCAGTATAATATTATTATTTTAAAAATACTGAAATTATTTTCCTTTTATGATAGGTTTAAAAGCGATTTAAAAAATTTTAGCAAATGAAAATAAACTAAATTAAATTTCATTAAATTATTCTATTGTGGACAAATCGAAGGTTTAAAGACTAACTGAAAAAAGTATTATTGAGGAAGTACTATTCAGTACTTTTTTATTTTATTAAACACGTACCATTTAACATATTTTATTTTAAGTAATTTAACTATTTTATTCAAGTAATCCTTTTTTATTGTTGATTAAGTATTATTACACTCTCGTATTGACTTACAGTAGAACATCTTTGCTTTAATAAATATTAAAATCTTTTAAATACAATCACTGCAATCCCTTTGAGAAATCACAGTTTTATTATTCAAGTCCTTCTAGGTAGTCATCTTCACGTAATAAGAGCATGGTGTGTCCATTTTCAATCTGACAAAAACTTCAACTAAAAAATTAAAATTATTTGGACGTAAATTTAATTATGGTAACCAATCGACCAATTTGAACGTACGAAAATAACAATTAATTGTATTAGCGTTAGCACACAAAGCAGCATATGCGTTTAACTGCCTAAAAATATGCAACATGAAATATGCCCATCTACTTTAACTAAATCAGTTCAAGTAAATCATTTTCACCTTTGCTGCCAAATTTTATCTAATTTTGTTGCTGTGGAAAGCACAATGGCAACTAAAATTATAATTATAGATATACAAAGTGCATTTGTGGCTTTGAAAGCACATTCAATGATTCCCGGCTCAGTGCAACTTGCTCAGTCCGACCGCATCAATGTAATCGACCCACGACCCTTGCAAAGCCGCCAACTGAAATGGATTTCGCATTCGTTGCCACATAATTTTATTAATTTGCTAAAATGGTTAATTTGCTACGAAAATGTGGCGAATGAAGTACGCTTCGCTGGCAACAGGCTGCCGATACCGTGCCGCCACCACTACCGCTGCTACTGCTCATGGTCGATCGTTATTGCCGGGTCCCCTATAGCAGCCAGTTGACTAAAAGTTTAGAATTGAGGATTAGACGCACATTTGAACTCGATTTTGTTGTGGATGTGCATGGTAAAAGTGCTGCAGTTGCTCGAAACGGATTTATTTATTGGCGGTTTGCAAAATAATTTTAAATTATTTATGAATATTACGAATTTGCCTCTGAAAACTTCACTAAATTCACATTTATTATAAAATGGCTCGAATATTTGTGCAACAGAATTAAAAATGCATCATTAAAATTGATTATGAATAATTAAAGCAAATTAGACTTGACCCGAACAAAAAGAGTTACTATCATCCAAAGGGATTTCGGTGATGCGAATTTAAGCTTTAAATTAACGAAATTTTAATCTGAAAAATCTGTCTACTCAAGCCATTTAAACTATTGAATTAATATATATAAAATGTTTTTATCAGTTTTTAAACAATATTTTTTGTTCATACATATTACTGAATAATTACTGAATTGGATAATGACATATTACTGAACTAAAAATGACCCACTACTCTTTTCGGATTTGTCGAATTCATATTCGTAAACTTAATATGCACCTGATAACAGATCACGTATTTTTAATTACTATAATTGTTCAATTATTTCTATTTAGATTGGATACGGGTTTTTCAATTTAAAATGATCATGAAGAGGCTCTCCACAAAAATTTCTTGTAGAAAGCTTCTCTCATTTCTTTTTGCTGCTTTTAACTAGCATCTCTCTCTACTATATGTTTTTAATGCTGCTTACTGGCATTGTAGCTGTTATTTATTTGAGTCTTGTAATAATGAAGATTTAATTCCTAATTATTTATTTAAATTTTTGTTTCATTATCTCATTATATGGAGTTGAGAATTTAAAATTGTCAATTGTTTTTTAAAATAATCTATTATGTTGCCACTTATGCAATTGAATAAGTACCAATATTCAAAAAAATGACATTAAATAGTCCCTGCTTTAATGATTAATAGCTGCAGTTTTCCTATTTATCATATAAAAATATGTACCGATTGATAAAGTAACAATAAAAGTTACTATATCCAAGTATTATAAAATTACTTGGTTTAAAAGTTCATTAAATTATAAGATTTAACTTGTATAAGTCAGATTTCTTATGCTAGAATATAAATCTTACCCCTGTTTGGATGCGTGAATATGGAACAACTGAAGAGAATAAAATGCAATATTCATAATTGTTCTACCATCTCGAAACTAAAACTGATTAATATCTTTGAATTCTTAATTTTTCAATTTAAAAACTGAAGCGCAAATCCCTACTTTTCTCAATCATTTACAGGCTATTCCTTCCTTCATCTTCTGTGAACTATTAATTAGGTGGTTCTGTATCCAATCTCCACTGCATTCCACTGAATTTAAGTCCTAAAACCATTAAAGGTCTTGCATTTTTGAAAATCATATTAGATCATACAAAAGCTAGCTTCTGCAGTCATATGCAGTTGCTTCAACTTGTTTCTTCGAACTACATTTTTGTAAAGTGCACGATGAAGTGCATTTCCATTTCATCGCAACGATACACCGGATGGACTTGAGCTAATTTTGCGAGTAGTTCCATTCCAGTTAAATCAAACATGTGCCACTGCTGCCACAAATAAATTTGAAACATGTCAGAACAGTTTCAGTAATTTCGAATATCGAATAAACGTATTATTAAACGCACTCTATGACTTACATGTTGGAAATTTACGCCCCACCAAGTGCCAAAATGAAAAGCAATGCCATAGAGTTTCTGCCGTAGTGTTCAAATGATTTGTTGCCACCTCAAATGTTTGGTATCATTTACAATTTCGTTACCTAATTAGTTACCATATTGGAAGTGTAACTACCACTTCAACTGCAACTGCAACTGCAACTGTGATGCATGTGGGCTTGTCGGTCACTGCATGAGTTGCACTTCTTAATGGATTGATTGAGTGCATTGCTGTGTTATGGCTTGATTGGAAAATATTAGATTACAGTTGTAATGCCTTGGCATTGCGATTCGATTGCGAAATTTCATGCTATGTACACTGTAAAGAAAAGTGCATCGAACTGGGAATCATTTGCAAAGAGTTAGATATGATTCAGAATATTCCATTTTGCAAGGTTAAACTGTGATTAAATTGCTGCATTAGTATCAATTTTCATACAAATTGAGAAAGATATTTTGAACAAAATTTATATTGAGTGTTGTTTTTTTCATTTAAACTTTTTCTATTTGCAGGAACAAATTTTATGGGTGTAGCAGTACATGAGTTTGGTCATTCGCTTGGTCTAGGCCATTCATCTGATGAGAAAGCAATTATGAATCCTTGGTATCATGGCTATGAAAATGAAATTACTTTACCGGATGATGATCGTATTGCTATACAGGAGCTATATGGATCTAAAGAGAAGACGTGGGGACCATTTAAGCCACAACGTCCAAGAGTACCGCCAACTACTACCACCACCACCACATCAACAACAATGCGCACATTAATCTACTACCCTGACCGCAGATATCCTGAACACCCACGTTATCCACATAATCCACATTATCCCTATGGCGATCCCAACGATCCCAGACGTCATCATCATCATTATAATCGCAATCGTGAACCACTAACTACTACTACCACTACCACATATAGACCACGTACATACCCTCCTCCACGTCCACCCAAACCAACACAAAAGCGTACTTATGCCACAGCCAAGCCAAGAAAATTAAAGCCAGATAGTTGCACGACTCACTACGATGCCATATCAATGATAAGAAGAGAACTCTTCATATTTCGTGGACAGGTAAGATAAATACTTAATACTTTTTTCTTGAATTGTGGATGAAGTACTCTGTTAGTAAAGTGATATTAGTTTTATCTTCATGGTTACCTTACACTTCTTAAAAAATAATATTGAAATCGACTGTATTTTTTATTCAATTTTAGTTTCTATGGCGCATTGGCGATCGTGGTTTATATTCTGGTTATCCCACCGAAACACGCCGTCTCTGGTCGTTGCTACCTGAAAACTTTACGAAAATTGATGCCGTCTATGAAAATCATGAACGTAAAATTGTTTTTTTCATAGGTAAGCAATTTATCTTCTTTACACATATCAGCATTATAGCATTTTATTTACTTTTAGGCCGTTACTATTATGTATTCGATTCAGTTACATTAGAACCTGGCTACCCACAACCATTAACCTCACTCGGACTACCATATTCATTAACGCACATCGATGCTGCCTTTATTTGGGGCCACAATAACTTCACTTATCTCTTCAGTGGCACGTTATATTGGCGTCTTGACAAAGAGACTGGGCGTGCAGAACTGGACTATCCACGAGATATGTCAATTTGGGCAGGTATAGGTTATAACATCGATGCTGCATTCCAGTATACCGACCGAAAAACGTACTTTTTCAAAGGACTGGGTTATTGGGAATTTAATGACGATCTCATGATGGTAGCCCATCCCAAATTGAAAGTATCTGCACGTAAATGGATGAACTGCCCGAGACGTGTCAATGAAGTAGACGAAGAACAAGCGTGGACAGATCAACTAATATCTGAACGGAATCAAATGGATCATAATCAATCAACAGAAAGTGCTGAAAGTAACGGCGTACGTTTAAGCAATTCTGAGCGAGGGTCTGTGGTGCAACTTTTAATAGTTGCTTTAGTGGTGCTTTGGTCGCAATTAACTTTTAAAAGATGAATAGACGAATACTAACACTAACCTTAACTACTTAGTTTTAATTAATTTAAGTGCAAACACAGAAAGACGTTTGACATGTCTCGTTATTTAAAACAATCGCCTTAAAATTAAATTAACGATTCTCGTCAAGCGCCACATACAAAACTATTCATTCATATTTTTTATACTATTTTTTGAAAAATGTACGTCATCAACACATATACACAAAACGCCTTATAATGTTTATAATTAAAATATAATTAAGCTTAGTTTTACTTAAAAATATAACTAGGAACTTAATTTTCATAAACACTTTACCACGAAATTGCCTACAAAAATTTGTGCGTGCATAGCGATCAGCGATCAATATGACGTAACTGAAGCTATATAACTGATCTGTTGATCTATTTGGGCTACAAAAATCGACGCGAATAATGGCCCAAATTGATTTACTAAAAGGTTCTGGAGAGAACCTGTAGAAGTATAAGGTTTTGTCGCTGGTCGCTTGTATTAGCAAATATAATAATTAAAATTTAAGATATAACCACTAAAACGATATTATTGAGTCTGGCCTTAAATGTGCGTTACGCATTTTTATAACTAAACTGACAGCCCGCAAAGCCTTAACCAAATCATCCTGAAAGTTATCAAATAAAAGTGAAAAACACTGAGGTTCTTACAGTTTATACTTTAATTATTACATAAGTAGATCGTTTCTTACCTAACGACCTTCAATCGCCTTAAACTGATCTACAAACAAATATATATATATATATATATATATATATATATATATATATTAATAAGAATTATTCAAATAAGAAAATATCAATTACTTTAAAAAAAATTTCAAAGTGGTAGAGAATATTAACTGACCAAGGAATCCTTGTCCGTGGGAATATTTTTTCAGAAAACCACACTCACGCGATAAACATACTTCCCATCATCAAACTATCACATCGATCTCCAGCGAACTGAGAAGTATTTTATTAAATCTATTATAGAGATGTAGTACATCATATTAAACATAAATCGTAAATCATAAAAATTTGTAGCTCTTTTTAAAATATTAATAGAGGTTTTAAAAACCTCGTAATATTCTTTTAAATATAACTCTTTTGTTAATTCTAAATGTCTTCTAGATTCATATAATTTCTTAACTATTCATATATATTATTGAAATTAAATGAATTACCATTAAAGAAGTGTAATTCAAAATATATAAATATTATAACAATATTTTTATGACAGAAACCTTCCGACTACATTGTTTTGATAGAATTTTATCATCCTTAGTTTTAGAGTTTTTCAGTTGGTGTTGGCCGTAGTAATCAATACATGCTTTTTAATTGCTCCGAGGTTTTGGCTTTAGTATCTCCTAATTTATTATACTTATTATTTATATAAAGACATGCCCACTTGAATATTATCCCTTTAAAACAAAGAATATTCATCAATTTTGTTTCTTCTAGCTTCTTGAACCATTCAAGTGAATAGCCTTTTTGGCTCTGAAAGTAAGATGTCAGCCATATATCTGTTTCAAAATCGATCCATATATGACTATGTACAATTACTGACTATGTACAATTAAGGAACAAAAACTACACACACTTATCCTGTACATCCTTTTCGTTGTTAAACATAGTTTTTTAGTAATAATAATAAAACAATAAAAGTGATATTATGTTAAATTAATTAATGTCAACATTTTATAAATTAAATTTAATAAAGTAAATGCATTATTTTATTTAGCCTTATAAATACGTTAGAAATGTAATTATTTTATGTACACAAATTTATATATGTATTTCAGTTGATTTTTTATTGCTACCAAATAATCTAATGATGATTTAGTATTTTAAATTTATTAACTGAATTATTGTACATTATGTATTTTAGCTTAGACAAACGCATTATATCTTTTAATATCCATAAATATATTAAGCAATAAATCAGCTTTTAAATTGTAACGATTATAAAGGAATCAATAAAATTGCTTCATGTTATTAAACAAAATCTCTTGACTTTTATTAGTACGACACTACTAAGTAGGGCTAGTAACTTATTCTAAGATATTTTTCAAATTTATGTCATTCCGGAAATGTTCTAACCACCGCCTATTAAACTAATACAAAGAATAGGAGAATCTAAACGTGAAATGGTAATTTAAAATGATAAAGTGATTAAAATAGTTTTTAAAATAGTAATTTGGAAAGGTTTTTAATTAGTAGAGAAACAAAATCTTATTTTTAATTCCTATCTGAAAATTTTTATAAACTTACTGCCTTCAGTAAGTCAAGTAAACTTGTGATAGTAGTAAGTATCCTTATAGGTCGAAAAAGTGGAAACGAAGTAAGCTCTTATTGGTAGTGTTTCATAATAGTTCCATTAGCGCATTAGTATTTAATTCCATTACATTTTATGAATCCAAACTATTGTCAGACTATACCTATATACTATGAAAAAACATAATTAACATTACCTAACATTGAATTGCAGTTGCAACTTTTAGATCATTTAGGAAGTATTTGATTAAACTTATAAGCAGTATAAGATGGAAGAAGAGTAGTAGTTATATAACCAGTTTAACGTAGTGTATAGCTTTTTGCTGAATAAAAATGTATTTTCAATATTTTGTATTTATTTATATAAATTTGCTAGTTTAATATCCTTGTGAGCAGTTGTCTATACAAAGACCTTGAATTGTGTTAATGTAAAAATTGATGATAAAACCTAATATAGTTCCTATATACAGATAAAAGTACTTTGAATAAACTTCCGCGAGAAAGTACAATATAAATCGGTATCCATACAGTTCTTACATAAATTTTACAACTAATTAAGAGATATTTCATAAATTTAATATACGATTATAAAATAATTAATAAAAAAAAATATTAAAAAGCCGCTTTAAGCGCTACAAAATATAATAGAACAAACAAAACACCATCAATTTCAATCATTAAAATTATAAATACAAATTTATTATTTTTTAATTAATTGCAAAAGTAATTAATTCACAAAAATTTTTATTTCGTTTATACGCACTTAATTCATAATTTAACTTATTTAACAATTTACCTGATTTATTTAAAATATTATTCAAGTGTTTGCTGAGCAGACGCATAGTACAATTTTCTCTTATTAAGAACAGAATTACAAAACTTTATTAACGCGTCCTTCAAGGACTTACAACGAGCGCATTGCATTGAAACATAGTTAATTATTAATGTTAAAATTCAGCAAATGCAAAATGTTACGAAAATTTAGCTGATTAAATTCAAAAAACACAAACACAGAAGATATTCACAGAAATAAATAATAATCTTCTGCCTTCTTGACTGATAGATAACTACTTTAGTATACTTGTATATTTAAAGGATTTTTTATCAAATAATTTCCATCTATTTCAAATGTTATAAAAAATTTATATTACTCTTCAAAGTTGGTTGTCATTTCTACTGCGGCAAAGTATAACGCACATAGGGTACTTCTATATCTTCGCCTTCTTCATCGTTGCAACATATTTCGAATACCAAAGAGCGCTCATGCGACTCTATACGCTTTTTAGAAACACGACGTACGACTTCAGTCATTGGCAGCGGCAGACGTTCAGCGCACTTAGTCTTGGGCATAAAGAATGAGTAAAGCATTGACACTCCCTGAGAGAGCATGGTAATCTTGAGCTTCTCATTCTTCTCAAAATAATCAAGGAATTCTTGTAAAGATAATTCTCCCTGCACTTCAAAGCGATCCCATAGCGTCCATTCTTTGCCGTAGTATGTATTTTTATCAGCAGACAAGGGTTCTGAGAAGGCTATGAGTGGAAGCGCCAAATTTGCAAATCCATTTTTAAACTTTGATAGCTCGTTGTGGCTGCAAGCGAAAATATTAAAATTGTTATAGAATTATATAGGTTCTAAATTATTAAAAAATATTACAAACGTATACGAAATTTGATTTTTTTGGTAGATAAACTTAATAAACTTAGACGGTTTAGTAATACACAATTTACACCAGCGCGTATTAGTTTATTTACCAATCATACTAAACATGTGTTTTCTTTTTTCAAATTCTTAATATCTCCTTACGCTAGATAGTTAGAACACTATTAAGTGGATTGATAAGTAACAGGTGGCAACGCCAGAACAAAATTTCTGATTGATGCAATTCTGAGATCAATGTAAATATACTTTTAAAACGTGTTTCAAAAGAAGAAATAAGTTTGTAGTGTGAAGAGTTTATTACATTCAAAAGAAAAAACATGTAATGTGAAGAGTTTATAACATTCGTATTAGAAGAGACATTAACAAAAAAATAAAATCCGAACATATATCTCCAAAAATCCCTACGGTTTTTCTGTGATATAAATATTCAAAGTAAAGGACTAATACCAACTGGATTTTTTTATAACAATTCTTAAAAACAGAAAAATGAATAAGGAATCACAAGCATAGGGTGGAAGTAGTTGGTATTGTTTTTATTGTCCGCAGAATGCAAGACTTAAATTCGAACAGTTTGCAAATTTCTAAATATCTGAATAACTGATCTATTCTACAAAACAATTACCAATCGATTTCACTTCACTTTACTTTAAACTGCATATTCTTTAGAGCACATAATGAATAATTAAATTTATATTATAAAATGCGCTAGTGGACTTACCCAATGATAAGTTTTATCACTTCTAATACAACTAGTCCCGAAACAAGTGATGTGGTTGTAGCAATAGCGGGTATGATTTTGCCTGCAATTAACTTCGACTTATGACGATCTGCTGGGGGTATGCGATAATTTGCGGCGCGTAAATTCGATGAAGCCACAATGAAATCCATATGTAAATTTGAGTCGTCATCTTTTTCAAAATCAATAGGCTGAATTTTAAAATTCGATTTACTAAGTCCTTGCAGTTCTGTAAGTATTTTGTTTACACGATCTTGATCAACTTCCGCATTATCGTAACTATTGGCGGCTGCAGCAGCGGCATTTTCGTTTGTTTCAATTTTAACACCTGACCGTGGTTTGAATTCCGGCACCTTAACATATCAAAACAGTAATTTATTAAATTAATTCAAAATGATATGTATTATTTTTTTATATACTTTGATTTTAAGAGTTAATTCAGCAACAATTTGTCTGTCTCGCACTTGAGGTATACCGTAAACTTCAGCGCGTAAATTAGCTCCTGCATGTACATAATCCAGATGAAGAGGATCATTTACATCGAATTCTAATGGTTCAGGGCAACGTTTCGGTCCAGACCAGAAAGGTTGTCCTGACGATGTTACTTGATTAGGTGGGAAGTTGAATAACAGCTGTTTAATTTGATTAACATATTGCTCTTCGAAATGTAATCTTGCCCACTGAACACAATCAGCAAAGTCTTTCGGATTATCGTCAATTAAGGCTTTCTGTAATAAAAGCAAAAAATATGATTTATTTAGTACAAGTGAGTATCAAGCTAGTTAAAGATTACAAACCTTTACTGATTCTAAAATTTCAAGTGGTTGAATTCCCGGTAATTTAAGTATGCGCTCCAAAAAGCTTGGATCGGTTATAAATTGAGATGCATTTTCTGCTGCTTGCTTAAATACTCCTTCAAATGTATCGCGAGCCCATTGCAATGTGTGTTCAATAGCGTTAGGGAAATTTTTTAGAGTACATATTGGTATGCTTTTCTCTGGTGGATCTTGAGACGAACTGTATGATTCTGTTTGAAATGGCACAATGACTTGTACATTACCCATAGTACCAAGTGTGCCAGACTCTACTAGTGGTATGCGATTAAATACACATTTTCGATCCATATATATACGAGCATCAACATTATCCAATGCATTAGCTACTCCATCCAATTTTCCAAAGAAATCTTCAGAAAATACTTTTTCAGTTTCACTACCAACACGTAATTCATAGGCAGTAACTTCGATCTCCGGATTCATTTTTTTAATGGCTGCAGCTGCAGTTTGTGCTTTAGGTTTTTGTACATCTTTTGGTCTAAACAAAAACTGCCTATTTAAATTTGACTTTTCTATTAAATCCATGTCGGTAATGTATATTCTGCCATTACGTGCACCCACACCAACCATAGCAAAGTTTTTCAACAACTCGCAACCAATAGCACCGGCTCCAACTATAAAGTATCTGCAAAATTTTAAAAAAATACAATTAAACTCTAAAATGATTTTATTAAATAATTTTCTTACTTAACATCCGCTAATTTTTCTTGGAAACTCTTGCCAAATATAGCTATTTGTGCATCGTAACGGGATCCAATTGGCTGAGCATCTTCTTCAGAAACGCCGTTTTCAGGTAAGCATTCAATCGCGTCATAGTAAAGCCATTGAAATATAGGAGTAAATTTGCCACTACAAGCTTTAAGTACTTCTTGTGCAACAAAACCACCCATTGCTGCGTCAAGAGGGCAAGTATTACCTGCGCATGTTTTTGCAAATGTTAGTATCAAATCATCTTTAACATTAGGATCGACAGATTTGCAGATTTGTAGAAAACTTTGAGCATCGGTATCGTTCCAAGGGCGTGGAGGACTACCGATCTCCTTAATATATTTATGCAGTACTTTGAATGCGACATGAAGCGACATTGGATGGTCAAATTTAGCAAAGTCTGAATCAATAAATTCCGGTTCTTTCTCTGCAACTTCCAATGGCTTAAAATTAATAATTTTAGGCATTTTAACTTGCGTTACAATGCCACCAGATATATACTCTCCAAAATGGCTTGTGTCGCCGATACTGAACGTGTATGGACCAAGTATGCTGATTTTAATTGGAGCACAACCGTTGAGTTCAGTCATGCCCAATACCTCAGAAAATGTAACATAGTCACCATCATTTAATCCATGTCTCGTCTCATCTAAACAAGTAATGACACCTTGCGTATCTCTTGTAATGCTAGCAATCATATTGGATATGGGCTGAGCACCATCCTGATCATAAATTGTGAAGTTTTCACCAAAATCACAAAATATTTTAGCGAAAAGACCACGAGTCTCAGCTATAATAAGAGCAATATTTCTTTCGTGCGCGAACTTCGCAATACGTTGTTGTTCTTCATCGTCAGAGGCAGTCAGCACTATAACACTGAACTGAGAGAGAAAATCCTCGTTTAAGTCACCTGTATACGCAGTGGTGCGGACGTAGTTATTTAACTCGGCCAATTGATCACACGAAGCAACTGCACGATTCTTTCCAACATCCGCCTCGGTCAAGTAGAACTGTGAGGATAAATCACGTATCTAAACAAGAACAGGAATATTATCAATTGGCATCTTAAAATGTATACGGAAAATATAACATTATAAATACTCTTTATTTTTGCAAAGATTTTTAGCATAAACGTAGTCATAGTTTTACAAATACTATAATGGAAAGCAACTTCAATTTACAATTGCTGTTTATTTAACATATTTCGAGGAAGAGGTTAATAACCTCCAGCAAAACCCAAATGTTTGCTTCGAAAATACGAAATGCACTTTGCCAATTAAAAAAATATTAACAAAATGAAAAAGAAAACAGCAGATTCATTATCTTTTACTGGAAGCAATTTATTAATAATATTGTTTTGGATGAATAATCTTGGCAACCGTAGGCAACAAAGTAAAACAACAACACCACGAAAACAGCTAAGCCAGAAGTCCAATGAATCGAGCATACAGAGAGAGGCCAGCCACACACTTACAAATATGTTATATATGTTCAAATTTTAGCGTTTGTGACATCCAAAACAAAAAACATTAACATATTAAATAATTTCATTGCAAAAATTTAAAAATATTAATTTAAATCTTTAATAAGTAAATAAACATTAAATGTAAAAAACCAAAATTTTGTTCCAAAGAATCAATGAATTTATTTTTAGTTTCTTAGTATATAGAAAACTGTTGTCTTCTGAGGCTACTGAGGCTTCTGAGACGACAAGAGTTGATTTGGTCCACAGTGAGACTATTATTAAAACGAAAAAGTACATGAACAGAAATTTTACTCAACAAATTCGATTTCAAAGACAATATAACCTTATTGAGAGAAGGAGAGAAAACAGGCCAAAAGCTGATCATTGGTAGAACATGGTTATACGAGGATACTAAATACTTTAATCAATATCAATGCCTTTCAAGATATACAGATTAAAATTAAACAATCTTCAAACGAAAACGTATATTTATAATACTTTATATTCTAATGCGGGGAGACTAAGATTTAACTAGGATCTAATGATGATGATGATGAATTCTAATGCGATACTAACAAATGTAGTCTTCAACTCTACGAAAAATTTGCATACGAAGTGCGAAAAATATTTTAAATTGAAAATCATTTATCAGAAACACTGTAAACATTCTTGATAGCGAGACGAATGAGGCTAAACGGAATAAATTTATAATATACGACTGTACACTTGCTTCTTCATTTATAATTAAGTTAATATTTAAATAAACTTTCAATATATTCTGCTTCTACTTACAACTATTATAGATTAAGGAAATAGATTAAGATTCCTAGATTCCTCAGCTGTTAACGAAAATTTTTATATTGTCAATGCAAGTAATAACAATATCGATTGTCTGTCGATTCGGATATCATTTCAGTTTAAGATTGACTGTTCTAAATTGAATTGATTGATACAAACTACTGTAACCATACTTTAGTTTTTGCTAGCATTCTCTCTCAGTTCTTACTGTTGTCTGAGGCACATTTAGTAACGATAAGGCAAGGGTGCGTGTATGAATATGGAATGAAGTAAAATTTTTGGGGATGATTGAATGATTACAAAATATGTAAAAACTCAGTAGTCCACAGCAGTGTCTCAAGAGTAAAGATAACGAAATTTAAGTACAACAAACGCAATAGTGGAATGGCTAAATTTAAATGTATTGCAGCCCGCCAGTTTTTTGTTCAGTATTGGAGGGTGAGAAAAACAAAACACATTAGGGCGAATTAAGACGAAGGAAGTTTGTGTTGTGTACTTTTCGGCAGCTGAATAGACCGACATCGAGAGGGAGAGGGTAAGAGTTGCAGTTTGGTAAGAATAGAAAGATCATTAATAGATTTTTTACAGATTTTTAGAAAATCTTTCAATTGTATACGATTGAGTTTTTTATGGTTTTATTTTCTTGTCTAGCATTTGATATTTTAAAAAGTTCTATTTTATGTCGAGTTTTCTGCACTAATGTTAGTAAGAAATTAAATAAAACTAAAAGTGGGGAAACACTAATAACTATGGTCCCCAAAAAGACAATTGTGTACCACTAGCACATGACCAATCTTTAGATCCTATATAATGATTTATTTTAAACATTACTCCAAACCAACAAAATCATGAATTACGATTTGCAAAACAAAGACTTATCGTAATGGCATAAGAAAATATAATAAGTAAAAATAAATCAAAAATGGGTCCAATTTTGTAAAATTTGTTTAAGAAATTAAGGCTCCAGGAATTAGAGCTACTCAAAAATAAAGTGCTTGTAACTGAAAGTAATAGATAAAAATCTATTCTGTTCTAATCTGTTCTAGCATAATTGAGATATTACTCCAATCCAAGCAATTAATTGTAAAGAACTATTATAGCTTATGAACTGAAAAATAGATGGGTTATAGAACAATATGGAACATATGGTTCAGTCATTTTGTGAATTGAATGTCATTAGTAATAACAATAATAAAATCCAATATGATTAAGACATAAAAAGTTTTTGTAAGTAAATATGAATTAGAAGCGGCACGTCTCTGCCTTTGAACAAAGAAGTCGTCGTTGAAAGAAAATTTGGCTTAAATGCAAAAAAAAAAAAATTATTTTTAACGCGGTTTGTAACAGAAACCAGTTTTCGTCTTTGTGTGGTGGGAAAAACAACAAAAACTTGAAGAATTTATTTTAATGCTGAATCTCGTAAACAAAGTCTATTTGGCACCAAGTTAAGAACTGCGAAAAATGTATGTTCTTTGTAAATAAAGTCAAGAATCTACATAACACAAAATTGTTCCAAATTATATCAATTAAAAAGCCACAAGTAAATTAAAAACACTTGAATATATATACAAAACTTATTTTTCAAACTAAAAAAAGGAATTCATTTGAAGGATTAAGTATGTGAGCCCAGCCGTTTTTATTCAATTTCAATTTAATTAAATCTATGCTAATGACGTAGATAAGGTAGTTAACTTTACTCATGATTATGCGTTCATAGAATGGTGAAATTCTTAGTAACTTTATCTCCTTAAACCCCCATTGCCCCCTGAAGCAGATATTAATACGTACAGCGGGCATACACTTGTCTCGCTCCTAAGCAACCAAAATAATTTTGCGATGCAATGAATCACACTTTTTCGCGTGATGTATTTTTTCTGCTGTTTAAATTCGTAAATAAATGTAAAGGAAAAATCGGTAAATAAAACTAAAAAAAACTGTTAATTTTTTGCTTAGATCATTTATAAACTTGTAAGTTTAAGCGTACAAAATTATTTTCATTCATTTACTTCATTACGGTAGTTTTTGTTGGTCCACGCATATTGCATATAAAATTGCCTCAAGTAGAGTTACCATTTCCAGAAACTAAATTAAGTAAACATTTTCTCTATAAACGAATATAAATACTATTTATTACACGTAATAGAACATAACATCTTGAACGCGATTTAAAAATCACTTTTGTTTTGATTTGATGCTTTTAAAAAATTGCGTTCTTTATTTTAAATAAATAAGTTTAAGTTAAATTTTGTTTTATTTTATGCTCAAGCAACACATAGATGATTTATATAAATTATAACAATAAAAAAATTTGCTTTAAATAAAACAAAGTTTTAATTAAAAACTCTTCTCACCAGTTGACTACACTACTTAATGAACACATTCACCACTGTGTCGTTTACTGCGCACAATGTAAAATTAAAAACTGAAAACTTTTCTATAAAGAACAAACGAATATTATAACATTTAAATAGCAATATTTTGTTATTAATTAATGGGCCTTGATAATGAGGTTAAGTTGGTACCACCAGTAAGATGAAGTAATGTTGGCCCAGCACATCAGGAACACAAAACTAGTAAATGCCAAACAATGGAAGATAAAAGATGTGAGTGGTCAGGTGAATTTGTTTTTCAAATAAATTTTTTTGTTAATTTAAATTATTGCACTAAATAAAAATAGATTAAGCTCAATTATAATTTAATTTATAAATTCAATAAAATAACCCAAAATATTACATATATTGCATATACGTAAGGTACCATGAACCCAATTTGATCATAGCAGGAAATTGTTTATATTTATAAACTTGTTCTAAAGATACGAGATTCGTTTAGATGCGATTTGTTTTAAACAGTTTATAATGCTTAGGATGAACTTTGTGTGACTTACTTTTAACAATTTTTATACTCTTATATACACACTTTTACAACATTTGAGTGATATACATATTTGTTTAATAACAAAAAATTAAGAAAACATTGGTTGAGTTCCAACGAACCACAAAAATTTAAAACGTTTATTTTTCTTGTCTTGGTAACCCTGTTCGCTTTTATAAATATATCGAAGTGGCAGCCCAAGTAACAGAATGGAAAATTATAGAACAAAGTATATTGGAAAAGAATGACACAACGAAATAAAAGAAAAGTTGAATGTATGCAATTTTTACAAATTTGTACATATTTTGTATGAAGCAAAGTATTTCCTAATAGGAACACTAAAAACAATTTTCGCGGTATTTCTCTAGCATGCAAAGGTGCAAACTAAAAACAATTTGAATATGTGGCACAACGGCAGCAATTATTGATTTTTTTCTTGAAGCAGCACAACGTTTAGCAGTGACACATTTATTTATATAAAGCTTATATGAATGGAACCCACCTTTTTTTCTATTTAAAATATATTATGTGGCACTATTGAGAATGAATACTTACAGAACTGTTTTGTGTATCATGCAATGTTATGGATTTTACTCCTCCAAGAATGACGTTTTTCGCAATTTCGAGGCCTAAGCCGCCAAGCCCCGACAGTAAAATATCGGAATTTGCCATGCGACGCATTGCATCGTGTCCCAAAACATATAATTGGCGCGAGTAGAGGGACTCATCTATGTCATTGCCAGCATTATTACCAGCAGCATTGAAGGCATTAGTCGCCATTGATGTATTTGTTTGGGAATTTTTCGCACTGCTACCCGTTTTCGAATTGGAATTTGTTACTGCGCCAGAACTTGTCGATGAAACTGCACCGTTGTTACTTTTTATATCAAAATTTTTATTATTTAAATTGCAAAGCTTACTTCGTTCACTTTCTTTGTTCACTGCCGACGGTGTACTAATGCCGCTCTCATTTAATGTATTCACGATGGCAGACGAACCGGCATTATTGCTACTGAACGAAACTGAGCAAGACGACGATACATGCTCTATATTAGCTGACTCTTTTTGTCTCTGCTTGTCAACGTCATTTATGCCATTCTCGCCATCTTCGGCATTGTTTTGTGGAATTGTACTGGCATCGTCAAGTATGCGGCGCTTTTTGGCTGCAGGAGGCTCGATTGTGGAGGGTTGTTGAAGTAAATGTGAGCTAGACATTTGATATCACAAAAACAATATCTTCAGCTGTGGCAAATTAACAATTGAATTTCATAAATTCTTCCTAAATTTTTTTTTTCTTATTGAATGGCACTTAAATTTGGTCGATCCAAATGTATGACTAAATGTGGTCTGCAACAATGTTGTCTTTCACTACAAATTATTACAAAAATTTAAATAAGTAAAATACAAATAAAAACACTATGTTAAATATTTTAAGTAACTACTTTTGTCTAATAAATTTTAATGACCAAATATACATAATTACTAAGCACATGAAATATATTTCGCAATTTTGCAAGGAATGCGTTTTCTACGTTTTTCTTTGCATCACTTTGCTTCCTCATGTATATTTTGTCTGAATCGCACTTTTTGCACATATGAAATTTGGCATTTTTTACTGTTAATATCTTTAATTTATAAAAAATCAAATATATTACCACAAATATAGTTGACTGAAGTACCTTTTTCCGCAATTTTCATAAAAATTAGTTTAATATCAACCGATAAATACGAAATACACTGCCAGATGAAATTCTTTAACAATTCTATTCAAACTAAAGACAGAACAAAATGTTCTGCCGGCGTCGCTGTCAACAAATTGCTTTCGTCAAGTTAGTAAAATGTTGCCTTATAAATTTATACTTTGTTGTTTGCGACAACTTTGTCAGCTGTTTCATGAAATATTCTTGCAGAATTTACAAAATATAATAAACAACAAATTTTACTGTTGCAAGACAAGTAAACGCTCTTAATTTTATTTAAAGCTATATTCTACTACTATTAATAAAATTCAAAAAGAAAACTTTGTGTCTAAAAAAATATGGCATACTTATTACATAAATATGTAAACATACATGACAATATTTTAAAATTTTTTCAAACAGATTTTGCAATTTTTATTCAATATACAAAAGCATTTTATATGTTATTAATATAAAATTCAAAGTAATCAAAGTAGTTTTATCTTTAGTTTAATGTAACCAGATGTCTGCTATCTTAAAGCGGGACAATTTTATAAAGCCGAGTTTGTATCTCTACACCACATTCATACTAAGTAAATAATTTAAACAAAATAATTCTAATGCCTTTAACATAGACAATTTAAAAGATGATAGGTCTACATCGGTTAGCTATACATACAACAATATTTGTTTTAATTATCCTTTATGAGAATCACACAATAATCGACACTGTTTTCGAAAAATATTGAAAATTAACTCCAGAGACTAAAGATTCAATTTATATTTTAATAAAAATAAATATCTTCTTTATTAACAGATAATATAATTTCTTATAATACAAGCTGTATGCAATTTTGATTAATAACTATAAATTTAAAGTGAAATTTCTATTTTATAATTGACCATAATTGGATATTAAGTCTTGCTCCTGATACCCGCTCGATCTATAGTAACTTCAACTTCGAAGTGCACGTAATTATGGACATTATGTTCTTCACTTAAATATTAGGATTGAACCCCACAGGAAATGATGATTTTATATTGCTTTAATCCAGATAAAATATTTCAAATAATATTTATGTCAACATACTATCAATTTAAAAAATAATGATAATTGAACTTTATTTTATCCATCAATCACACTTACTCCGGCATATACTCGTAAGAGCCATCCTCTGTTGGCAAATTGTTTTCTATTCGTGATTTATCATTTGAGCTCGTATGAAATGAGTTTGCCATTAGCAAAATATTTTTAGCGATACGTTCTTGATCGATTTTTCGTTGTACTTCTTCGGTTCGCTTTTGTATATTCTTAGAAATTCGACCTTCCAAGCTATTGGCATTCTAAATTAATAAAATATGTGTAATGTAGTGACTAAAATTTATATATTTTATAAAAATGCCCTTACTGTAATTTGTGGTTGATCTTGTGGATTAGTCCATATTTCTGTCCCCATCGTTTCGCTGCCAGAAGCAGACGATAAAGCGGGTCTTGCCGGTATTAATGGAGAGCGTACACAAACTCTTTAAAAACAATAATAAAAATAATAAATCTTCAATATAATATTGATATTTACTCTTCCTTATTAACGATATATTCCAAATTTCATTACAAAGCAGTATAAATTTATGATTTCAGAGCATTTATAACTAAGATAGTGTAAAGTAAAAAGTTTTGGAATTATTAGTGAATTGACTTTAATAAATCAAAATACACATATTTGTATAGCAAAATGCATACCAATGACATTTGTCACATATCATTCATAGGATTCAATAATAATCTTGAAGTGCAAGTAGTACTAAAAAATTTACAACCTATTTTATTTACACCCAATTTAAATCTGATATATCATGGTACATTGTTATAATATATATTGAATCTATATAATATTTTTCTCAATTGTATGAATTCAATATAAGATATAGAAATATTTTACATGATACCTTGCGTAAGGAAAGGTATATGTTTTATATTTTTGTCTTTCAAACACTATTGAATGTACTTACTATTTTATATTCTATTCTATACTAATTAGCTTATTCCAAATTAATTAGCAATATTTGAAAAATATTTGCGAGCAACATACTTCTCTTTAACTGACATATGTCGACTGCTACTAATTTCAATTGAGTGCTCCAACTCAGTTCTCATTGCAAAATCTATGGAATCTGTGATATCTGCTATACTATATATCTTATACTATGTATATTTTGAAGATTCTGTCTTCAACAAATAAAATACATTTTTATTTATGATTTTACAACCGTAAAACATTTCTAAGTTTTTATTAAACATCTACAAAAATTTTAAACTCTATAAATCACAACTATTGAACATCTAAGTATAAATATTCTACATATAAAAAATAAATTGTGCGTTTTCTGCATTAATGCACCCAACTCTCTAGTTTCGCTTGGCTTCGTCATCAACATTATTATTTTCACTGCTTCCAGGCTCATTTTCATTCTCGAGTCTCGATCTAAAACGAGAAAGAGAAAGATATAATGAGACTTGTAGCATGAAATAATGTTAATGACTCAAGCGTTATCTATTTATAAATGATATGAGTACATGTGACGTTATTTACCTGTTAACATCCTCCAATTTTTTGAGCAAACGTTCGTTCTCACGGCAAACAATTTCCTGATCTCTTAGTATTGTTTCCCTGACCGTAAATAGGTGATTATTTTCCTGTCGTAACGCTTCGTTCTCTTGCATATACAATTTGACTAACTCAGCTAGTTCATTGCCATCTAACTCTGCCAAACGCTCGAGATCTACTTTCGGAGCTGTGTTTCCACCACTGGCCACCCGTTCCAAGTGCAAATCAAGTAATTCGTTACCATCTTGATCTGTGGTAGGTTTAAGAGATTCATGATGTAAATTGAGCGCTGCTTTTAGATGCTCGTTTTCCATTTGCAAAGCATTAATATCACGTTTCAGACTAAGAATAAGTGCTTCCCTGGGATCCATCATAATTACTGGTTTAGTGCGAATGCGCTTGGCTCGCGAAGCATAACGTAATGTGTTCAAGGTTTCCGCATGGTTATATTGTGCTGGAGACACACATGCAATCATAAGTGTAACACCATTGCCAGCCAAACTATCAGCCAGTAATTTCGTTAACTGACTGTCACGATATGGTATGTGACCAAAGCGTTTCTTAGAGTCGCTAAGTGATGCTATACAATAACCTGTGTAATGGAAAAGAAAACAACTTCATAATTTCAATGCATAAATTGATTTTTTGAAATTGTTATATTTATGACAATTATCTATCTTAATTTCACTAACCTAAAACCATTAAACTTTTATTAATGTTATTGGCTTCTTCCAGAGTTTTGCCTTCACTCAAAGTTTTCTTGGTTAACTCACTACCAGCAAGATCCACAAAATTAATTTTGCCATGTTTTGACAGAAACACCCCTCCATCCGTCTGTTGTTCCGATATTATGTGAACTGTTAGTATAGTATGTGAACGGGACGAGTGATCGTTCATAGCGTGAGAACCAACTGATCTATTGCGCATACCTTCAAGAGAGCACAGTTAGTATTCATTTAATAAATTAATTATTTTTGATACAAAATCAGATTTATATTTTGACTTTGATGTCACTTATCATCTTCAGTGACATCCAATACATATTCCCTTCTGTTGTCAACATAGTCAACACTTATGTGCGAGTTTGATAAAAATGATAAATAACAATCGAAAAGGCAAAAAATAATGTATATCAAAAAATAATTAAAATTTTATAATCTAAAGAAATGCTATAAAGTTTAATATAATTGAATACAATTTGCATTAAAGTTTTCTTCGTCATCATTTATTTATAAACGAAATTTTAATTGGTGTGTAGTTGAGTTTTTTAATAGTAGAAGTTTTTGGTTCGATAATAATTTTTTCGTGAATATATATAAGTTTTGTCACGAAATACTTGTAAAATTTGATGAGATAATAATGTGTACGTTCTAAATAAAAATTTATTATACAATATAATAAAAATTATTTAGAGAGAGGAGTGTCAAATCCTTGTAACATAACACAAATGTAACAAACACATCTGAAACGAATTGTATGTGTCCTAAAAGACATTAGAAGTATATGGGAGTATAGGCTGATGAATATTAAACATTTTCTGGAATGACTAAAATCTGTTCAGTTCATATTCAAAAAATTATAAACTGAAGAAGTACATCTGGTTTTTCTTTAGAATGTTCATATATATGAAGACTTAACACCATGGTATTCTCATTTAAAAGAATTCTCCAGTTAAAAGAATTCTACCAACACCAAATTAAGTTATATATTTAGATATAACTTCTTTCTTATTGAGAGACGGGTCTATTTAAATATATACTGTTCTTTGGGACACAGCACTCGGTTGAAAAAATGCAACTACTCATTGTGTAAAGGCATAAATGCTATCATTTTCCAGTGTTACTTTAGATGTTGATCACAGTCACCACGACACTTCATTATGGAGTTAATTCAGGTTACTGGTGACGTATTGCAAGAAAAAACCCACTTGCTACCAGTTCTACTTCAAAACGGAACAATGTGGTGCCTTATGGATTTTAGTTGCCTTTTCTTACAAGTATGCCTTACATTAGGAATATTCTAACTCCAATACCGAAGAGGGAATATTGTTAATCAGACTACATTTCTAATGCTGAACTGTTCCTGCCATTAATGACTTCAAGATACGCAAATGTAAGTACATTACATATAATATTGTGTATCCAAATATTTTTATGTAAACATAAGTTCGTTCATAAGTCTTATAGGTAGAGTCTTGTAGACAAACCATAGATAAAGATGTGGGAAATACGATACACATGAAACGATATATACAGAGAAGTATGAGAAAGCTGATGCTTCTCCACTAAAATAAATAGATCCATAGAAGACTAAGAGAACACGTAATGACTATGGATAATATAAGTTATTCTTATTAAAATTTATTTTACTCGATTAACTATTTAATTTGATTTCGAAGCCACAATTCGGATACACATCTTTATAGGAGAAATTGAATTATCTATTAAGTTAGATTTTTTTTTTACCAAAGTTGGATGTTAGATATGTCAATTTAGCTAAATGTAGCCTGCGGATGGTTCAAATACATATTCGTGTATAGAAAGTTCTTGTATTGCCATTGTATTCTCACTAAATTTAGTATTTAAATAAAAGCCGAAATTTTTTCTTTCAGAGTTGTAAAAAAACAGCAATAAGTCCGGTTCAAACAAATTGGCATCATTTTTAAAATGCGTATGTTAAATGATTATCTTTAACATTTGTTTTTGGTTGTGTTGCATATAAAATGAAATATAATAATTGTAAACACTACAAATTAATTAATTTAAATAAAAGAAAACAAAATGAATATTTGAAGGGCAATGGTAAGCATTTGTATCTTCTATATTTAAATTTATTTATTTATTTATGTATTTACATTCAATAGTAAATAAAATGCTCGTATGTATGATTTTAACAGATGAGTGGAATTTCGCAACATATTTCCAGTGAGCATTCACAATAGACTGATTTTTGAATTAAGCTCCACTAAAACTTGAGACTTAAAATTTTTGGGAGTAAAACCTAAATCTGAAAAGTTGATTTTTAATATGACGAGCATATAAACTTATGGCTCTAAAATGAAAATCTTGTGATAAAAAAATCTCAAGAATTACGTGTGAAGGTTACTTGACATAATTAAAGAGTTTTATATATTATATTAAACTCTTTCTACAAAGTTAAAAACTGAAATAAAATAAGAAATGGGCGATTGTTATCGCCTAATCGATTTATTTAAAAATAATCAACACAAAATCGATCAATTAATTCATATTTATTTCATCTAAAAAAGAAAATGTCAGTAAATTTATGTTTATTGAAAATTTTTTATCAGCTGCAATTATTTCAAAAGTCATATGCCAATTGCCATCAAATGGTAATTGAAATTTTTTTACAGAATTATATATAACGTAGTAGCTGCAATAAACTACACGAAACAAAGCCATGAGGAAATTGCATTCTAAATAAGTTATTAGATGAATGCCTTTTCTCACTGCTCGTCAATTTTGTTTGTCTTAAATATATAAATATACTTACCTTCTTCTAAAACAGCCAACAAATCGTCCAACTCTTCGCAACCCACAGTAAAGAGATTTTCCACAAAGAATCCACCGGACTTCTTCGACCAACGCACTGCCAACGACTTTCGATGAGAGCCCGGATTAAGTAAATCAATTACCTACGGTGACAATCGAAATCAGAAAATTTTAATTACACTTTCAAAACTTAAATAAATAAAATTATTCGAAGTGTGGCGAATGTTGAAGTGTGCGTTTATTTTTGCCTGTCTGAACAGTTTTGACCGTGTCCAGTTTGAACTACGCCCTCTCGTTGCAATTTCAACTGAGGGTGTTATGGACTGTGCCTTTTGTGTACATTGCAAAAGTAAATAAAAGAATTTAAAATTCCACGCAAACTTACTACGAGTGATTTTGCTCCATCTAACTGTTAAGTGTAAATATTTTATATTTCCAAAGCAAAAACTATCTAAGAAATTTGCCTTGGAGTCAGAAGTTAATTATACTTTATACGGACCGTAAAATGGGAGAAACTAGAGGCTATTACGAATACTTTTATTAAAGGAAATTTCGACTCGTATTACCACTGAAGTCCAATCGTTGTCATTTAAGGATTTTGTTGAAATAATCATGCGATCTGTATAACCCACTTTAAAGTTTTATAATCCATGCTCCTGTTTCAAATATTGAATAATGCAGTACAATGCATGCAACTGATAATGAGAAGTCACACCACATGCATTGCAGTAGAATATCCGTATTTGTTATTTAAATATAAACAACGCCATTATTGGTAATTAAAATGGAATGTGACTCCTGGCAATTGCGCGGAGTAACACAAACGCAATTAGGAAGTGAATATATATTCTGTAAATTGACTGGAACTGTAACTACTCTAATTTATTAAAACACGTTGTCCTTGGATTGACAGCTAATGTGGCCTGTCGATGAAAACAACGTGATAATTTTTACATATTAGAAACACAATTATACTTTAAAAGGATTTTAATTATTTGAAAATTAAATTTCTCTTCTAATTGCAAAAAGGCATTTAACCGATTAGTGAGATATTATTGATGAAAAATGTATTCCAATCATTGAAGAAGCTAATTTACCAAATAACCTGTACTCACTTATTCCTGGATTAGTTACTTTCTTAGTTTTCTTAACAGATCTATGCCTATATTAGTATTCAAGGAGGTAGAGTTTAAAGGAAGATAAATAATGACGAGTTTAGTATAGTAAATAGGTAGATACCCCTTTTTAAAAAGAGATCATATGAATGATACTGGTCTATTGTTCAATTAGCCATGAACCCATACAAATGTTATACCTTAAATTCAATTTCAAAATCTTTCTATCACTTAGAAATATTATCAACAAAGTAGTTTTAGAGTTAAAGTAAACATGTTTTACTAAATACGCAGTAAGGTGGGATATATCGTGTAACAGTTCATATTAACTTATAATTATTACGAAGGAATTAAACTTTGAGTTTGAGTTTAAAATAAGATGATTGATAATTGCTTAAAGTCAGGCATCATCATCTATAAAGTTATCTTAGAATGGAATTTACCTAACCGTAATTATTAATCAAGCCTACAAATTTTAGAATATCCAATTCATTGGTCTTACTCTTATATTGAGTAAGACCAATGAAATGAATTCTTATAATTAATACGTCTGAAGCCCGACGTATAAATACATTGGTTTCTATATATCATATGAATGCAATATATAAAATGAGAATTATATTGTTAAATTTGTAAAGAGGTTTTCTGAAAAGTAATGAACTACAACAACAAAAATTCGTTTTATGTTATTATGAATAATTGAGTTTTTGACTGACCATACAGCTATTTCGAGTATTGCCAAATACCTATAATCAGTGGTCTTGAAAACAATTCTTATAATTATTAAATTTGACAAAAAAATAAAATTTTTTGGAAACTTACCCGTTCATTATAGATTTCCAAAAATGAAGCTTTGAGCACAAAATTTATATCGTTTCGATTCTTAATCAGTTGGAAGAGATATACAAATGATCGGAAGATGAGGCCATGCCGGGGATCATTTAAATTAGGTTTGCCAACAAACTGAAAAATTTTATTAATTACTAAAATCCCTTATGGCACATTTTACTTATTTAACTCTTACCAAATCAGGTGGGCCAGTTAAAGTGTGAGTTTTACCAGAACCGGTTTGACCATAACAAAACGCAGTGCAGCTAAAACCCTCAATGGCCATTTCGATGATACGCTTAATTCCTGAATAATCCAACACATCCTCTTGAGTAGCGCCGGGCTCAAAAACAACATTGTAGGTGTAGACATGCAAATTCTCACGGTTGTGAGAACGCTTATTATTACCGTCTTGTGTTTCGATCTGGAGAGAAAATAAATTTAATTATAACAGGAATAAAATAAGTAATTTTCGGACAATTTACTATAATTTGACCATTTCCTGGAAACTGCAATATCATGCCATGTCTATCGCGTTTCTCCTTTTCGTTTAAGGGGCGTACACGCACCACAACATTAATATTATCTTCAGGTGTGGACGGCTCACTACCAGTAGATTTGGAGGCTATTATTTCCAATGTATCTGCGCTACCAATTCTGTGAAGTTGTTAAAAAAAAGTAATGTTCGCTAAATTATTAAATATTTCATTGTTAATTTTGGTGCACAAAATTTCCTAATAAAACACTTCTTCACCTTGAACTTGACACTTGAACCTCTTGTTTAAAAATATATTTTGCTTGTGAACTTCTAAGAGATTTCAGCCTTGGTTTTTTTTGTTAAAAAGAAAAAAGTTCTTTTATTCTGAAATATTTCCCAATCCTTCCCTCTTCTTCGAAGTGTGTTATTTCTTGCGTGTTCGCTTATTTAATTTTTGCATAAATAAACCAGTGCATACCAGGCGTCTAGGCAGTAAGCCACCTCTAAAACCTCCAAACAGGATACGATAGGTAATGTAATTTTTTATGACTTATAGGGTTCCAAATATTTACTGAGCTCATTGCAGTATTCGTTTTGTAGGAAAAACCCTTTTTGTTGAACTGCTCACATTAAATAGGAAACTGAACTTGAAATCGCAAATTTTCCAAGTACAAGAGCAGTTGCTATACGTCCACACTCCTATTTCCCGGTCCTGGTATTTAAATTTACTTTGAGGCACTTAAATTTTGCGTGTTATATTTTATTGAATTTCATATAAAAAAATTTTATTAATGCGATGATTATCATAAAAAAAGACTTAACTCGAAACCATGTGCATGGCTTTGGCATGGGAGAAATTTTCTTTCTATTTATTCTTAAAAAAAATTTAATAATTTGTTTATATTGTATACGGATGTGTAAACTGAAACGAACTGAGGTTTTTAACCCTAAAACTTATAAATAATTGATTTTTAAAATAATTTTAAAAAATTATTCTCGACTTGGGACCCATTGAATTCCTAGGAATGTGTACTTGAGTATGAGAAGCCATAAATTTTCTTATTCAATTGTTTGTGCAAATTTGTTATTTTTGGAATTTTCTTAATTACGCACTGTACTCGGTGTTAATGAATTTTAATGCAAGTGTAGAGTGTGGCAGGGCACACCCTACACATACGAATACAAAATCTAATTATAACTTTCTGAAGTAATTACCTTTAAATTATCATAGTTCTTATTTCGAACTCTTCACATCAAGGTCAAAGTAAACCCACTTTAACAGCCCACAACGTGGACTATTAGTGATTTAGTAAAAACTTTGAAGAGTACAAGAAAAACAAAATGATTTGCTTTGTATTGAGTAAATTGGAGTTTTTTGCGGATACAGTAAGTAGATTTGACTTTTCAACAGTAAATTAATAATTTATTAATAATCTCAGCAAATTCCCACAATACATCTGGACATAAAAAGTTTTAAACTAACTATCACTTGACTTCATTACTTTCAGGTGTCATATCTGAGCTATTCACAACCCTACGTTTTATGCACCTGCATGGATGATACTTTGCCCTTAACGATATTTATGTACCAGGTAATATACTTAATGGATCAGGACTGGCAGTCGCATGTCCATTATGCCAAGAAATTCAAAATCCATAACAAAACTATTAGGAATGGTAAAGAGATATGGTAAAACAGATAGGATTTAAATTACCGAACCTTAACCCAAATACCTAAAGAAAAGTATCTAGAATAGAGTTTAGATGAGTGCAGAGAACATAACTCCAAATCAATTCACAGTGTTAAGGTGTGCTAATAACTAACAATAACACCATAAACTGAATTTAATAAAATGTGTTCATATCTATAATTTATTCCTGTAAAGTTGTTTAAATTATGGTAAGTCAACTAATAACAAGCAACGAACTTGGAATATACAAAGAATCGGTCAAATTAATATATAAGTATCTTTGAATAGTAAGGATCCTCACAACACGATAACAAATTTCTAGATCTAAGCTATGAAAAAAACGTTAAATCCATAATAGTATGTCTGCAACCCATATTATCTAAATGCAGTGACTTATTCAAGGACTAGGACATTGATTCCAGATTTGACAATGAAATCTACTGATATAGTACAAAAACACTGTCAAAAAACAATATTTGCTAGTGATTCCCTCATTTGACACAATTTTGGCTAAGCCACTATGCAAACGAATACTAACTAGCATTTAATACCAAGATTAATATATAGCCAAAGATACATTTGCCTGATAACCTCATAGAAGAAGGAAGGACGCTAGGAATTACCGCTTCGACACATATATGCTAACAACCCTGTGTTAGTATAATTTCTTGCATTGTTCTTCTCGACGTTATCATTATATGTATTACTATCAAAAATAAGTTCTGTAACGCCTTGTTTCATTAAAGACGATGTGATTGGAATTTTCTGCTGTAATACTATTCAAAACTATACTTTATGCAAGTTTATATCTATATATTTAAAAATAACTAAAGATGAATCTTTTCCTTTACAAAGTTGGAAGCAATAGTGTTATGTCCGTATACTATATAGATTTTCGTATTGTATTTATAAAAATTTTTGTAAATGTTTTTAGCCTCCATTGATAGGATTTAATAAGAAAAACGTGCACTTAATGATTGATTAAACAAATTTCCTTTGAAATTGTGTGTTATTTTATCCTTAAATAATTGTTCTTAATTGAAAATTGATTGAATTTATTTATTTTTAACTTTAAGTGTTTCAATTAGGAATATATTTGGTTATTAGGAAAGAAATACAATCAGATACTTCCTGTATTGGATAAGTTCATTGAAATCAATATTAAACTAATGAAGATCTTTCAGCAAGTCATCGGCGTCTTCCTTCTTTTCACTTTTATTAATTGCTTAATTTTATGGCTTATATTCTTAAGAGTACTTACTCTTTAATCTTTGTAAAAGTTTAGATGACGCTAAATCTTCTCAGCTACCGTGTTTCTGTTAGTTTCTCAAAAGTTTTTATCTTCTGTATTTTGTTAGCAATTAGATTTACGCCAGATTGGTTGATTCTGTGGTGAAAGAAGGTAACTTCTTTTTTGAAAAATTCACTTTTTTCCAGATTGATTTTTAAATCGTGGTCACACAGTTATTTAAATATTTTTTAAAATATTTCTTGTCTTCTTCCCGGCAGTTAAAGCCACACACACATATCATTTCTACAGGTGACTATGGATACAAAGTTCTGCAGCACCTTGTATGCCATTGACGTGTGTTACCTGATTTCCCCAAATCTGTTATTCAGAATAGCTTCATCTTATGCTCATCTGCATAAAAACGTGACTGTATGGGTTTTGGTTTCGATCTGATAGTATCTCTAGTACCTGATTGGCTTTCATCTATCGTCCTATTTTGCTATGTACGTATGTTATTCGTACAAAATAATTCTGGTTCTCTAGATCCGGCCTATAATTTTTGTTCAATTAAATTCACAAATGCCAAATCTATTACAATAATATTTTGTTTTTATTAATTTTGCAGATACCGCTTCCAATGACGAGTATCCAACAAATATATGTCAATGATTTTTAGATAAAACGAGTATCACACAATAATTCCATGCCATCTTTGATTGACTATAAAATATCTCACAATTAACGCAACTAACGCTTAAGTGACACAATATAATTAAATTAGATAGCAGTGGTTTCAAATGTCATAGCTACATACATTAGAGACATCAGATAAGTTTATAAATGTCAAAGTGTTACAGTGACATGAGGTGTGTGCGTATGAAAAACACACTTCAAATATTTAAATAAAATGTAACAGCAAAACGATTCCATTATTGCCATATTAAAAAAAAATATAATTTTAAAATATTAAAGTTCTTAAAAAAATAATACTGAAAATATATTGTGACTAGATACAGAAAGAGAAGGGATAACTAGCTTTAACCACATAGATATTAGCGAAACACACAGAACTTCAAATACATAGAGAGTCTACACTTTTTTGACTACTGATGTATTATAAGATGTCCGTATAGATGAAGCTTTTAGAATAATAATTTAGTGCAGAACTTGATATTCGTATTCGCCGAATAGTTTATAATCAAATATTGAAATACAATAGTATGAACAGAGCTAGAAGGTATACAAAATTTACTTATTCTCAATCTGTTTTTAGACGGAATACTGCTCATTCTTCGAAAATAATTTTGAATGGTTATTGTTAAGGACACATATATTTCTGTTATTTCGGTGTCCTAGCATAACTTAAAAGAACTTTTTATCTTAATGCCCTAATAGTTTTCCTGCTTAAAGAATTTTCATAACCCATCTCCGAGGGTCATAACAAATAAAAGTTCAGCAAAAACAAAGCAGTAAACAAAATATTTATTTAAAAAAACCAAAATTTTAACATTACAGGGCAGCTCTATCCACTCTTAAATTCCTTCCTTCTATCCACTCTGCACGTATTATGCCTTTAATAGGTCAAATACTTCGAAATTATTGAATATTTCTGTATTTTACTGCTCACGCATTTCGTCAAATATTATTCCTTCTATCGAAGTTCAATCAACCAACGTTGGACATAATTTGTATATGACAATTACTAACGTATCTGTACACGCAAGTTACTAAGTTAGTGATATTTCTGACACGAGCTGAGGTGGACGAAAGAAAAGTTGGACAAAATACATACAATTTGAATTTGTGGGTCTAGACAATAACAGAAAGTAAAACAATTTTACATATGCGAAATCTCAACAATGATTTTTATTTTGTACTCAAATTTAAATTTAGTTTCATCAAATGCTACAGTGGCTCACAGCTTATTTCGTGCAAGCAATATTTTTGTAGATTTAGTCGTGAAAATCCAAAATTTTGTTCAAAATAAAAAATTTTAAATATGCAACTTTAAAGAATGTTTAGTTTTTATTATAAAACAAAAAAAAATTTAGCAAAAATATCAATATTCAAGAAGTTAAGTGAACAAAAACAAACATACACCAAATTCTGACCTCACAGCTTATTTCGTGCAATACATTTTTTTTTAGAAAATTAATAATTTTTGGCATAAAAAAGTGAATTTTAGTATTTAGTGGGATAGTCCTTTTGTTTAATTACTGCCTCCAACCTTGAACGCATTGAAATAACTAATTTTTGAGTATA